AATTTCCAATTTTAATATTTTTTCCAGTTTAACTAGGCTTTTCTCAGAGAATCAGATCAATCACATGGAGTTCACTGAATGAGCTGAAATTAGTTCAGTGGGTCATACAGGAATACGGGGTCCTATCAGGTCGAGCGATGCGCAAACGGGATGCGCAAAATGCAACTCTTTGTCTCTGTCAGAAAGTACTGAAAACCCAAAAACAGATATATTGATATTATAAGTATATAAGTGAAACGCAAATGACTGGATGATTCTGAATACGGTGCCCATCTATGCTCTCAGCCAATGCAATAGATGTCGCGATTTTTGAACACGTACGACATATCAACACTAGGAAGGGCCACAGATTACTAGTAGGGCGTTGATCGTGATTACTTATTATATCTCTTGTATTTGAAATAATGAAACGTTATAATCTCCTAATGATATTCCGTATATAAACTTTGGTATTGTTTAGTCCAAAGTTACGATGTAAACTGAATGAGTGGGAATAAGGTCTATATTACTGTCAGCTTTTGCAACTCGCACTTATCAAAAAGACATCACAGCAATGCGGGGCACTGCTGTGGCACTGCCACGCCACATCTGTGGCTGCTATGGTATGGTGGAAGAACATAGAAGCCATGAAAGGCTACACACATCACGATGAAATTTATTGCAATCTGAAGATTCGAGATGATGTCAGAAGTCTCAAAATCAGGCGGGCGTGTATGAAGAGTTATCAAAATTGTTGTGTTGATTACTGTCCCTAAAAAGAAAAGTGTGACGTCATCGGTGTGCCGCTGACCCAGATGCTAACGGTCAATGACCCGCATCCCGGGAACGCTTGAACTTGGGAAGGGAAAACAGTCTTCGTTAACCATTGTCACTCGCAATAAAGTTAAACGTTCCTCCCTAATTTTGTAATTGTGTAAACAAAATATTATATTTCATACCTACTAGTTTTACATGAAATTTTCCTATAAGTAACCAAAAAAACCTACATTTATCACAAGAATTCAAACAATCTTTGCGCGGAAAGATAAGAAAAAAAAACAAGATTTCGCCACTGTTAGTTATTAAACTTATTTTCAGATGGCTGATTTTCACTTTCGCATCGGGGAACCTTCTCCTTTTTAATTCAGCTATTCATAATAATGATGTTTTAATTTTTCATGAAACTTGACGTTTTGGAGGTAAGTATTGTGATGACGCGACGGAACGTGTTTATTTGTTTATGCAGACAAACGAGCTGACTGGTCACCTGATGGTAAGTGGTCATTGCCTCCCATAAACACTTGCCGCCCCAAGGGAACACCAAGGGTTTGAAGGCTCATATTATAGCTAGGAGGTAAACCACTGAGTGAAGTTCGTTCCAGATCTTGCGGGTAAGCAAGAAAAAGAATGCGCGTAACGCATGGTGTTAGTACGCCAAGCGTCCAGATAGTGGGGGGAAACGTCTCTCTAAGATGTGTAGTGCGGTGAAGAAACTTTGCCCCTGGTACCAGATTGAATAATTCCTCGAAACACTCTTCATTGTATAAACGATACAACATGCACAAAGATGCTAGAGTTACAACGCGTCTGTGAGCTTTTGACCATCGACAAGTCGAACTGCCCGTCTTTGTACCCGGTCAAGCAGAAGAAGCTGGCATTGGGGTGCTCGAGCCCAGAGATGAGAGCAGTACTCCGTACGCGGCTGAACCTGTGCTTTGTAAAGCCACTTCCGGCATTTTGGCTTGAAGTACTTTGTCACTCTATTGAACACCTCGAGCTTTTTCGCAAACTAGTTTGGTTTTTCCTTCCAAAAGATCTCAGAATTTCAATTCATTCGAAATATCGACACCTAGAATTCCGACGTTTTAGAGATGTTGAGGGATATGCGAGATGTCTTGGAAATAAAGTGCTGCTACGAATGGGGATTTGTTCGCGGTGAGCGGTGATTGAATCGGAGTAAACTTTGACGGTCCCAATTTAACACTTGGCTTAGTAACTTTCTTATGTTCCGATTGCGTAACTTCTAGACATTCATGAGTGCTTGTGACAGCCTAAACTAAATAATCAATTTTTGATTTAATTTGATAACGTCTCAATCTCAGACACAAGTGACTACACTCCTCTTCTTTCATCCGAGGGATATTTAGCCGACCAGTATTGAAATAAGTGTCGCCAGTGCTGTTATCCGCATAGCAATGAATACTGTTGTTAGTTAATAATGGATCATTGATATGCAAAATGAGCAGCGTGGGCGACAGAACTGATCATTGTGGGACGCCAGCAAATATGAATTTATGTCAGAAGATACGCCGTTAACTGCAACGCGTATGTTAAGTTCTGACAGAAAGCCACCATCTGCATAACCCATCTGAAAGCCCTTAAAATGGAAACTTCGACAAAAGTGCTCTGTGCCAGACACGATCAAATGCCTAAGCGATATTAAGGCTGACACCAAGCAAAAGCCTCACTCCTGCTCTCGATAGCCTCTTCCCATAGATGCGTAAGGTAAAGGAGTAAGTCACCAGCCGATCGACTACGGCGAAAGCCGTATTGACGGTCACTGATCAACTGGTGGTTTTCATGATATTCAAGGAACTGTGGATTGCGATGATGAGGTTTTATTTGTGGCCGCAATATTCAATCACATGAGCTTTAAAATAACCCGTAGAATAATTTGCTGCAAGATTTTCCTTAACCACATATAATTTATTATGTTCACATAGGTTTTACGAGACAAGTTCCGTTTGACCTCAATGATGTAATTTGTCGAAACATTGTTTTTTTCGGGGCAACCTGTGATTGGGGTTACGATAAACCATAAGAGCAGTCAGCAATGTAATATTTCATTAACATGCGAAACTAAATGGATTTATGTCTATGAACCATGGATACCATAGTAGAAATCTATGTATACACTTTTTATTCTTATGTTGACAAGACAGGACAAAGCTGGAAAACCCTCCTACGAACAAAAATAAATCGAAAAACGAAAGTTTCTATTAAACAACTATGATAAATTCAAAAAATCAAAAAACCCGGCCGTTAATATATTACTTCAAATAAAAACTGAAAATAAAATAAACAAGTCCAGTAGTCTATAATTCTGTTAAGTAAGGAACAAAGCTACATTAACAGTCGGGACCCATTAGATATTCAGGAATGGATAAAAATTTTCAATAATAGGTCCCGACTGTGATAGTGAGTAGCTTTGTTCCTTACTTAACAGAATTAAATACTACTGAAATGGTTTTTTCCCATACAAAAAAAAGTTATTTCTTTTTTTTTCGCTGTTAAAACTGCTTTTATTTGAAAATATTGTCAAGAAGTAATGAATTTATTAATTTGACACCGGCCAGAAGTCGAAAAAGGCTACGCTAAGCCTCTTGCCCGAAAAATCCACGGATAGATACAGTCAAGCGTATTAAAATTTCATCTTATGGAAAACAAACAAAGGTGCAAATTAATTTTCAGCAAATACGTATGTAGATAGTATTATTTCCTCGCAAATGTGTTATAAAACGTCTTATGACATACGTGCGGTTTGATAATTACAGCCTCTGCCTTCTTATAGCCCTCACCTACGGCTCGGGCTTACAATATCGCCTCAGCTGTAATTCTCAACTTACCGCACTTATATCATAATGTACTATTATCGTATTATAATAATAAGTCTCTAACTAGGACGTCCATGTGGCAGCTCTATTGCGAAGAAAATATTTTTTTTTACAAAAGATGTCGCTAGGTGCGCTTAAATGTGATTCATGTATTTTACAATAGATGTCGCAAGTTGTTAAATGTGATTCATGTAAGTTGATTTTTGTGCGAGATAAACTTTTTAGTGTATTATAAATTGTCATGTTTGTTTACGATAACGCAATAAATAAATATTGTATTCTACCACGAAAAGGATGATGCCTTCGTTAAGTAAAGGTCAGACTCGCGCTTGGCTAGTTTTGCTCTTTGGGTACGGAACCACAAAAATGGTAAATTACAGAGTGCAAAATATTGTAAAATATTGATTATTACTCATTTTAAAATCGGGCTTTTTCTCCGCTAAAATTCAAGTTTCCCGTTTTGTAGATTTTCCAAGTGGGCAGTCCATGTTGCGGTTTGAGATTTTATTAAAATCGTGTTATAAGGAAAACCATATATGAACTGACATAATGATTATTACCGTTAAAGCTATAATAAAGATACCTTGCGAAATATAATTTCGAAAAGAGTTTCGAAATGAGTAAGTAGACAATATTCATTCACACGTTTTAGAATACACAAATGAAAATAGTACAATAAACATTTTTCAAATTGTATCTAAAGAACGCGTACTGATACCTAGGCCGAATTGAATCTAGTATTTTTGTTTCGTCGTGATAACGAACTTATAAATTGATGAACACCGGCTACACGCACGAAAAAGTGTGACTTCATCTCACGTTATCTTAACGTGACATGAGCCACGAGTTAGTTCAACTTTCCGCGGTGTGTGTGAGGTGATGTTGAGGGGCTCCTTTACTTGAGAGAATGAAAAATGAGGAAATGCAAGATAAAATATAAAGGTTACATAAAAACGTCCTTGTACATACTTATAACTACATTGTCATATTTACAATTGATTGGCATTAATGATTCACAACTATTAATTAATTTAGGTTTGACGATGAATGGTCGTTAAAATGATTATTTTACTGCATTTCACGAATACCATTCAACAGGCACTTGACATGCGCGCATGTGTGTGTGTATGTCAATGTAGACGCATATTTTTATTCTATATAGGTACATCTACATTTTATAATCGGCTTGTGATTGTAAACCTGCATAATTTATAATTACTTACATATTTCCGGGGGAGGATAATGGTTACTAATTAGAGAACGTTGCATCTCGAGTCCATTGTTACCATGGCAATAGTAACTCCGAACTAGACTAGATTTTTATAACATATAATATTATTTTCATTGTTCAAAAATATTGAATGAAACAGACCTAAATAATAAAATAGTTTTTTTTTATTGTTTCAGATTAATGGCGCCCAGCATCATAAAGAAGCATCGCATAAAAACTGACCATAGCAATTTCACTCTCTTATCAGCGACACGTAACTAACGAAAAAAATGCTCTCCGTCAAACGCCGTCCACATAACAGAAAACCAGTTAAAATCAATAAAATAAACGTAAAAAAATACCCTCAAGAACAAAAAGAAAAACATCGAGCTTACCAACTTACCGAACATGTGTTCCAAATTCGAAATTTAAATCGCGGATTGTTCTAAACGCGCCACGCGCTTTCGAATATTTAAAAAATAGCTTTTCTTTTAACTTTAAATTAACAAAGCTTTAATCCAAAAAGTTTTTCAAGGAAAACTTTTTTTTAAGATTGTAGTCTTATAAAAAAATAGTTGCCTTCTATTCGTAGTTGTAGTGTATACCGTGATTGGTCCAATTTCTTGTAAAGTGTCGTTTTTAATTGATGTCAAGAAACCACACAATCTTTTTTGGAAAGCCCTTTGAAGTTCTGAGAGAAAAAGGTACGTACGTTAGATTATTGAGATGAACTTTGGGAATTAATGTTAATCTATTTAATTGTAGCACTAACAAAGGTTACATGTAAGATGGATGCATCGGTCATACCACAGAACACAGAAATAGGTATATTTGTTCAGTGAGCATCGATTAAACTATGAATTAGCGACTGTCGTGCGAATTCGGGGCGTTTGATAGTTTATGAGATCTTTACATGTAACAAAAAAAATAAAAGAAAAAATATTTTTCTTTTTCGATTTTTAGGTGACCCTGACCACCTCATCACCCATGGACCTCAGTAATTTCAAAATTGAATTTGATATCAAATTCGGATTCAGGAAAAAAATGTAAAAAAGAAATTTTACCGGTATCGAAATTACCAAAATAAAATAACGTTAATTAACGATATTTTTAATGTTAATTGGTAACGTCAAGAAACCCTGGTTTTAGGTAACCCTGCGAAAGTTGCTTAACCTCAACGATCGTAGCCGAACATGCTATAGAGCCTTAGATTAAAACAAAAAGGGTAGATACGGCACTAGCCTCAAAAAAGTGATCCGCATCAATTGTGGTCCACGACCCTAATCGCTTTAGTCACAACTTGACATGCAAACGACGTACATGTGAACGCCAAAAAGAAATATTGCTAATATTTTGTGTTTATATGATAAACCAATGCCTAAGTGTGTTTTTAAAAAGTGCTCAAATTGCTCAAGAACTAAAACTAACGCCCACAGCATCACTTTTCATTCGTAAGTACTATAAAATATATTTTTTCATAAAAATTGCTGTTTGTTTTGAATCTTATTCGGTAGTGACGTCGAGTACTGGTCGCGTGATTGGTCGGTAGTACAGTAACGCGGATCTCGCCGTCTCGTTCACGCTGCCGTTGAAACTTAACGTGCTTTTTCGTTCGGGTCGGTAATACAGTGACGCGGATCTCGCCGTCCCGTTCGCGCCGTGGGATCAGTTTTTGTTTGATGCAAGTATGAGCGTACCGTATCTACCCTTTTTGTTTTAATCTAAGTATCGAGCTCCTCTATCATCACATTACTAATAAGGTAATTTTTTTACGTATGTTTTACTTATTCAATAAATATTTTCAGGGTGCCAACAGACGCAATGGAGAGAGCTGAAGTTGAAAAACCTTCATCTGAAGATGGGAGTCAACTCAACAGAAATAGGGTAAGAATCAAATTATTTGTAAAATCCTACAGGGTTGACATTTTCACAGATGATGTATTTCTGTTGCCGTTATAAAAAAAATACTAAAAACAGAAAAAAATAAGGGGGTTCCATACAACAAGCGTGATTATTTTTTGCTAAGTAGACACTTGAAATATTTATTAATTTATATATTATCTACACACAAATATAGATACAGGAGCAACTTAATTAAAGAATCTTTTGTACAAGGGCAGTGAGGCCTACTTGCACTTGGCCGGTTTTTTATTGTTATTAAACATTGCGTTTATGGTAATGCGACGCCTTTATAACATGTTCTCAGAGCTTCAAATCGAAACAACTCGTGCGCAGCCAAGCGATACGTGAATCGCAATCTCCCCCGCGTACTATCTCCCCGTCTGCCATCAGGCCGGCACTGGAAGAGCCGGTCATCAAAAATAACGTTGCAAATGAAAGGGTTGAGTGCCACAGCGACGAGTCAGAAAAAGACAATAGTGAGGACAAGAAACAGCCAGTTGAGATACAGGTTAGATACTCATTTTTTTCTGTCGTGTCAAGATTTTAATGTTTAATGGGTTAAGCTATGTAGTAAAACTCGAAGAGATTTTTGACTTGAATTTAAAGCTAAAGACTCGAATGACTGAAAACGAAACAAAAACATGGTAGTCTGTTTACGGACGATAAGAGGAAAGGAATCCTTCGACCTCACCTCACACACCGCGGAATATTGAAGTAACGTGACTCGTGACATGACGTCACACTTTACTACCTGCCGCCGGTGATCATCGATTTAAAAGACGTCATCTCGTCAACAAACCTATTTTCCATAACCAGCTAACTGCTTTAGTCCAAATAGTTGATTGTATTTGTTAGTTCCACAATTTTAACCATATCCTAATTCAATTTCCTAAATATTTTGTTCAGCTTCGAATGTTTTGCGTGCAGATAACCAGCGGCACTTGGGAGGGCGAGTCGTGCGACCAACGGCAGCGTGCGCGGCGATGGGTCGGCCTCAAACACCAGTCGGAGCCGGCGCGCGACCTGCTGTCCAACAACCCGCGCGTGTCGTGCGTGTGCGGCGCCTGCGCCAACTGCCCGCACTGCAGGTCTTCATCAGACTATTATTTCCCCACGAGTCGTGCGACCAACGGCAGCGCGTGCGGGGATGGGTCGACTTCACACCAGTCGGAGCCGTTCATCGACCTTCTGCCCAACAACCGCGCGTGTCGTGATTGTGAGGTTTTTAAAGTGAAACTTCTATATAGGCGGGGGTTATTAGGATTTTGCAGTCATGAAAAAGCGTTACGGCCGCGTGGGGGGTGTAGACGATATATCGCGTGGTGAGAGACGGCAGCGGTGGGGAGAGAGAAAGGGAGGGAGGGATTGTCCGCTGAAATTTTACTTATACTATGTGTCCCAACACACATTTCGATTTTCTTTTTGTTTCCTCTCAGGCAGGGGAGCGTATGTCATAATGATACTTCAATTGGATTTCAAGCTAGTGAAAAGGATCTGGGTCTACTCATAAACCCTTCTCTTAGCTAGGAAGATCAAGTTGATGAAGTTTGCCGTAAATTTGTTAACACACAGAACTTCTTTCTCCCTTCCAGTACAAAGGTTACGCTCGTACAGGCTCTCGTTCTTCCTATCCTTGAATATGCTGACGTCTGCTATTCTGACATCAATCAAAAACTTCTTGTTAAACTGGATCGTTTGTTCAATAGTGGTATTCGCGTTATCTTACGTTACGACCATATCTCCCACTATGGAAATGAACTCAAGTGGCTGTCCAAATGTGACCGTGGAAATCTCCGAATTGTATGCATGCTTTTCCCTATTTTATACGATCCGCGTGCCCCAGAATACTTGAAGTCTAGGTTTTCGGTTTCCGAGTCCCTCCAAACCGCGTGATCTTCGCTCTTGTAGGCACCTTACGTTCAAAACACATTTTCACTATTCGGATTTCGTATTTAAATCTTTCACCATTACAGCTATACGTCTTTGGAATGCTTTGCCATTGACTATTCGCAGTGCTCGTAGTGAGTTGGAGTTCAAAAAACTAGTGCGTGCACACTATCTGTCAAATTAATACTTCTCTAATCTTTAATCACTTGTTTTATATTGTATATAATTATATGTGAATGTTTATTATATATATATTTAATGTATTTATGATATTTTATTTATGGATAATATATATTTATTGTTTTTTATAGTATAGCAAAGTTAAGAAGGCTATTTTTTTTAAATTTAGTAGCTCCTACTCTATCGCGAAAACATTCGTCTTCTACACCCTTACTGGTTGACTGGTAGAGAATGCCTATGGCATTATGTCCGCCATTTACTATATTTTGGTAAAAGACAATAAAATAAAATAATAATAAGTTTTTGGTCGCCCATCCAATGACCGACCTTTGCGAAAGATACTTAACTGTCACGATCGCAGGCCAAATGCGCTAACCACCTGCGTCATCTGTCGCCGAATTAATCTTAATTTAAAAAAAACATTTAACAACGGACTGGCACGAAATATTTCGTTCACGTCAACGCGTCAAAATCACGACAATTGAATTTCTTCGGGAATATCACTATAGTGCGCAATGGGAATATCCTCCATTCTGAGAGTGAAATTTTCCACTTTGTAATATGGTTCATGCGATACAGCCTGCCAGACGACGAAGATTGAGCAACAGAAACCCTAAAGAGGAACTTTTATTATTTACTTGAAGAAAAGCACATTCTCAATTAAAATGTATTACAGGGGACGCCGACGGAGACACATTTGTACAATCAAACAAGACTCCGGCATCGCTTGTTCTGACGACTGTCCAGATTGTACCGACGCGGAAAATTCAGGTAAAATTAAAACTAACTTGTGTTTTTAAAACTTTTAAAAGGGTGGCAAACAAGCATATGGCCCGCCTGATGATAAGCGGCCACCATAGCTTATAGTCGTTTGCGATACCAAAAACATCACTCGCGCCGTTAAAGTGTCATTGGTGACTCATCGGTAAACAATGAACAATACCCGTCACAAAATACATGAATCTAGTGCTTGGTGGATGATAACGGACCCAGTGCGGATTGGTGGGTGATAACTGGACCCAGCGCGGATTGTTGGGTGATAAAAGACCCAGTGCGGATTGGAGGATAATAACGGACCCAGCGCGGATTGGTGGTCCAATCCAGGCCAAAAATACGCCATGCCCTACCTCTCTTATTGCACCTAGGAACCACAGTTTTAATTACATGTTATTATTAAATAAAAATGTTTTATTACGACTTCTGTTATAGGTCCAGATGGCTTTCGAAAATCTGAAAGCTTGGAATGTGATGAACAAATATATTATTGCAGGTTGGTCTAACTTTGTCATGCTTCATTTCGTCTATAAATAACTTTTTCAATAACCTATGATTAAATTGATTTCAACATGTTTTAAACCTATTTTCAACGATTCCAGATGTCCAGAACGCAAAGAAAAACTAAAGAGCATATCATTGAGTCGAACAGATTCAGGTGCGTATGTGAAAATCGTCTGCAGTAAGATAAAAGAGCAATCTTTGAATCCTTAACAACTCGAGCCAGGGACTGAAGTAAATTGCGGATACTTCGTGATATAAAAGTAATGTCAGATTCTTAGTGTCCAAATACCATAATCCACTAGTATCAGGTTTTTTGGATTTTGTAGGAAGCTATAGCTTAATGGCCGATTTTTTTTTATTGGAAACCCATTGATAAATTTGACCGCATAAGTAGTATAATTTCATATCCTGCTTCCACCTTACTAATATTATAAATGCGGAAAGTTGTATGCATGATTGTTACTGATAACATAATTTTACTGTTCAACTGTAAAATTTTCACGAAATGTCGCATTGAAAGCACTTAGCGTAACTTAAATAAATAACTCCTGTAAATAAATGGTAATCTTTCTATTGTTGATTCAGACGACAGGTTGGAACCGACTGGAACAGAGCTGGTGAACTTCATAAAGGAGACGTTGAACAAGAACGCCAGAGACAGGATGACTCTACTCAAGATAGAGAAGGAGCTACACGCGCTCGTCAACGATACGGGGTGAGCGAGCTAATTATAACTATACAACGGTGTCGATTCTGGTATGATTCTGTAAACTTAAAACTAAATTGTAAATGTGTCTATGTTAATTCGTATATATTTTTAATATTATTTATTATATCAATATTTATATGTATATTTAGCTTTAAACCGCCGTTCGCGTTTATCTTTTTTCCCAGAAGTTGACTGGGAGAGAAGGCTATTAGCATTAAGTCCGCCTTTTGTACCGTTCTATTGAATTTTGGTCAATAAAGTTTAAAATAAATAAATAAATTTAACATCAGTCTCTCTTTTTCATTTTGTACAAAGAATGACAAAGATACACTGTTTTAAATTAATTTTAGGTTTAGAGAATCATGCCAGAATCGACACCAACGTGTATCAGAAATAACGCACACCCTGATAGTAGCTCGTTACAGATATACAAATGATTGAATTTCAGTAATTTTTATTTAATCAACTTCACCAGTGATATCTCAATGTTAATAAAATTATTTAATGTACCGTTGCATTGAAAAATAGCCCTTATTGTTATGCATCATATTCTTCTTTAAACAATAAATTATATTAAGGTCAATTATTTTTTCAATTTTTCTTTAGATACTTATTAAATCACAAAACAAAATTAAATAAACATTCAGTCTTACATCCACGTAGCCTGTAAGCGATCCAAAACGGCAGAAATAATGGAAAAAAGGTAATACATAAATTGCGCCGGATCAAAATTTGTTTATTTTAATGATTGATGTGCGTGAAATACATTTTATTTCGATTATAACCCTAACGAATTGACTTTGCTTTTAATGAAGCTGGGGGAAACCGCCCAATCATTGGCACTCTTCAATTATTGGCACTTTGAGTTTATTTCGCAAAAACAAGGAAATAATAGATTGGGAAGTTTACCCCATAACATAATAAAGTGTGGTGTTTGATGTGTACGAACAGGCGGTGCATAGTTCGGTTCCCGGTGATGACGTCATACGGTCGTATGTTGGTTCACCGATGTGCGGCGCTGTTCCAGCTCTCCCACCACCTCGACCACAGCAACAAGAACGCCGTGCTAGTCTCCAAGACAGGTGATATATCGTCATCATCATCAGCCTATTAATGTCCCCACTGCTGGGGCACAGACCTTCCCTATAGATGGAATAGGGAGTACGGGTCATGACCCACTGCTAGAGATGCAAAAGAACATAAAAAATACAAAAATACGTTTCATTTTTCTACACGCTTTTTTTTATCGAAAATTGCAACCAGTTTACAATAATTGGCAACACTCACCACGTATGGGAAAATTTCGATTTCCACGTTCGGTTTGTTTTTCCGAATTATGAGCGAAAAACTAAATAAAAAAAACAAAGGTCCTAAGCTTTTTTAAGTTTTTTTTTTCAAAGTGATGAAATTAGCCGCGTCTATTATGCTAACGACTGAGATGCAGCCCCGATCAACGGCTTAACGGGAATTTCGAAGCGCTTTAGAGCACGAGATATTAAGTTTTTGGTCACCAATTTAATGACCGACCATTGCGAAAGTTACTTAACTTCTACGATCGCAGAGCGATCGCGCTAGCCACCTGCGCTATCGTGTCAACATTATCTTATATATAAAATTCTCGTGTCGCGGTGTTTGTGGTTAAACTCCACCGAAACGGCTTTCCCGATTCTCATGAAATTTTGTGTGCATATTGGATAGGTCTGAGAATCGGACAACATCTATTTTTCATCCCCCTAAATGTTAAGGGTAATCCACCCCTAATTTTTTTTTCAATTTACGATAATTTTTTTTTTTTATTTTTTTATGATACATCATACACAAATACATACAACCCTAAATTTTCACCCTTCTACCACCAACCCCTATTTTTTTATACGAAGTTTGCTGGGACAGCTAGTAATCATATAATTGTCTATCTCCACGCCGAGTCTCGGAAGAGGAAGGTAGAAAGAATGGTATACCAAAACACACTTCTTTCGCTGCATTCACATTAATTGCTTTTTTCATTACAAGCAGCTGATTTTACGGATTCTGACGTCCCATACCATCAAAATTCAATCAATTTGACCGTTATGTATTTTTTATCGTTATCAAAAGCCCACTCACACAAAATAGAAAATATTTGTTTTACCTTAACAAGTGTTGTCAAAAACCAATAGGGGGTACTGCTTTTGACAACACATTTTTAAAATAAAAATATAATACAAAAACCTGATAAAATAATTATAAATTTTCGACAGGTACCAGCGGTGGGCGAATCCCTTGTACCAGTTTCAAACAATGGTGCACAGCTACGTTCCCTCCAAGTCCTCATAGGTAAGTAAACAATGAATTCATATACAGTAAAACCTGGATAAGATAAAGACCAAGGGAAACGTTAACTAATTTGAGTTATTGCGGTTTTTACTTACTAAGGGTTTGAGTTAAGGAGTTTTTATTTGTTTATATTTTTACTTACAGAGGTTCGTTTATGAGCTATGTTAGATAACCAAGCTATTTTCGAACGAAGACTAAATGCTAATGATACAAATAAATTACTGCACTGAGATAAGGTCTCGAAGGTGTATTGTTTACATTTGAAGCAATTGGGTAAACACGTGTGACAAATAACAATGGTTTGCAGGGAACCTTTTTCCTTATATTTGATATTGATAGATGATCGAGTTAAAAAGCTCTTCGTCCTTCAAAATTTGAGTTACTGAGGTTCGATGCCAAAATTATTCGTTTAATTTATAGAGGGTTCGTATTTTAAGTAAAAGAGGTCTTGGACTCCGAGGGGAAGGGATCACAAAATTTTATGAATTTATAGAGGTTTTTACGTTTTTGAGGTTTAAGTTATCAAGGTTCTACTGTATTAATCATACATTAATAAGCCGAAATCATCAAGTTTTTCCGTCATCTTGGTGTATCTCCAACTTATTTAGAAGAAAAAAACATTGCGTCTTTCTTCAGATCGATATTAAAAAGGGACACAAACTCGTTGGATGAACCTGGCTCGGGTGCTTCATCCAACGCCAGAAGCAAGTCCCTGGAGCAGAGGGAGAGGGAATACGAGCGAATGAAACTGAGAATATTCACGGAGGTATGCTTACTCGTACGTACGTGCTTATTATTTGCTTACAATTTTGCAGAATCATCGTTCATAATTATTACAAAACCAACATTGTCGCGAGCTGAATAATAAAGACCATTAAGTATGTAACTATTAGCGAATAAGGTTATTTCTCATTATGTTAAGTAACCCTTAACATAAATTAATATCGTTATGATATAAACTTTGAAAACAGTATAATTATACTGTTTCCGAGTTTTTCATAAAATTTTAATAATAATTATAAATACTTATGATAATTTATTTTTTATCATTTAATAAGAAGGAACTTTATCACAGTTAGTACTTCGTATAGGTTGAGATATTGCGAATAGCGCATTTTTTTCTACGTTTATAAACTTTTTAAACACCCCCTAGGTTTTCATCATCATCAGCCTATTAATGTCGCCACTGCTGGGGCACAGGCCTTCCCTATGGATAGAATAGGGAGATTGGGCTATGAACCATCACGCGCCACGCCCAGTGCGGATTGGCGGGTGCTAACGACTGCAGATGCAGCCGGGACCAACGGCTTAACTTGCCTTTTGAAGTACGGAGGAACTCGGGAGAGAAGATTTTTGGTCACCCATCCAATGACCGACCACTGCGAAAGTTGCTTAACTTCAACGATCGCAGCCGAACGCGCTAAACACCCGCGCTATCGAGCTCCGCTCCTAGGTTTTATCTACGTTTATAAGCAACAAAATTTCTTCTCCCGCCATTCCCGCAGTCTACTCCTGCATAGTACACCGCGCTATCACTTTTTCTATTGTAACATTTTAAATATTTGTCGAAATAATATAGTATAAAAACAAAGTTTATCGTCTTTAAATATCATAAGCGATAGAAGTACTTGTTCTGATAAAAAATAATTTGTTAATACAAAATGTGCATTTTGGAAATGGATATCATATAATATTTTATTTTTATACACTATTTTAGCAATAAGGGCTTACACATGAAATATATATATATATGTATGTATATATATCCTGCCGCGGACTTTTTTAAAGAACTATTTAAGAGATACATTTCCATTATACGATATATTCATGTAACTTTTATTGTTTTTGCAGGCCAAAATGGCTCGCGGAAGGGAGATTTTTTTCCGTCTTACTCGACACTTGTTGTTATATTTTGGCCAATTTACTCAATGACTACATAAATTATTATTTGTATGTTATGATCAAGTATGAGCTATATTATTGTTTCACTATTTATAAGTTTCATTAAAATCCATTCAGTATTTTTAGGTAAAAGAGTAACAAAGATCCATACAAACGTAAGATTGAAATTAAAAGCGCAAGTGGTTATTATACAACTTTAAATCATTGTAGATCCTAAACAGTCATATAAAATGAAAAATGGTGTAGAGAGCCTAAATATGATTTTCGATTATCTAGACAATGATATATTTCCCACTTGACATATTTCGTCAACTTATTTTTTTTTTCTTCGTCACAATATGGCCCCTAATTGTCCCCATATTGAATTTTGATTAGTATAATATCTTTAGTAGCACTCCCATGATTAAAACGAATCGATTGATGTATGAATCATCAAAATTCGTCCACGCGTTTGGTCTCTATTGTGCCACAAAGGAACATACATACATATATAGACTGTTAAACACTATACCCTATCTGCGCGTCGCGCTTCGCGCTCTTGCATTGCGCAGTCGTGTAAAAAGGAGAGACTGTTGTCAACTTTATAAATAACAAATACAAAAACAGCCATGTGAAGTGCCGCCAGTACTTAAACCTGCGCGAATTCAATTACCAATAGCTTGCCTCGCATAGGTACAGATTCTTAGGTATGGGTTATCTAAGAGATGGATGCTATTTTATTAGGAAATATAATGAGGTTTTTAAATTACTTACAGGATAATTGTCCGCAAGACGAAAATCAATGGCCGTGGTTGAACTCTGGGCCGGTTAAACTTCTCACTCCAGAAACCGGAAGAAACAAACTCGTTAAGGTTAGTATTCACTTTACAGGGTTGTCGGAACATTGACGTCCAAAAAAAATTAGGTCCCTCGTATCGTGGGGTATCCGAATCACCCCCATGTATGTTCCGCGACTTTTTATAGTTTTCGAGTTTATGATTTTTTTCTCAATTTTCGGGAATTCTCTTACCTCACTTAAAAAAATATATATATATATTATCGTAATTTTTTTTGACTTGTGGGGTAAGCTGGCGAATGCGTTACGCGTTACCAAAGAAAAGTGTGTTCGGGCGAGGCAAACGGGAGTTGAGTGGGGGATATAAGCAAGGAAAGCAGTGCGCATGCACATTTTGTTTCTATCTTCCTCTTATAGCTAGTAAATGAAATATGTATCTGAACATACATGTATATATTGTACACACATATATCTAATATATAAAAATCTCGTGTCACGGTGTGCGTAGTTGAACTCCTCCGAAATAGCTCTACCGATTTTCGTGAAATTTTATATGCATGTTCAGTAGGTCTGAGAGTCAGACAGCATTTATTTTACATCCCCCTAAATGTTAAGGGTGGTCCACACTTTATTTATTTATTTTTTGACATTTTTTTGTGATACTACATCATACAAAAATACATACAACACTAAATTTTCAACCTCATTCATCAACCATTCATACCATATTTTATGGCGATACGAAGTTCGCTGGCTCAGCTAATATATATATATATATATATATATACATACATACATACAGATGGAGCGAAAGAAGTTTCATTTCAGTCGTGTGGTCATAAGCACACTCGTTTTTGTTTCTAACAAAGATACGAATATTTTGGGTAATCGTTTAAATAATACCCTTTTATTAATAGGCTCTTGATGACGTTTTTGCGTGTAGGTGCAATCGCTGGAGAGCGGCGCATCGCCGGGGGGAGGCGGGGCCGCGGGAGGTGGGGGAGGTCGGGGCGCGGTGTCCAAGAGCCACAGCTTCGGTGGGTACGGGGGCCGCGACCCGCACCCGCATCCACACCACCCCAGGCTACTCAGCAGGCAAGGTCGGAAACATTCATCATACTAATATTACGAGTACTAGCGGCCGCCCGTGACTTCGTACGCGTGCAGTTAGTGGTTCACTGCTCGTTCCTCGTAGGTGATAGCGTGATTATATGTAGCCTATATGTTGACCCGACTTCTTAATAATGTTCGTGCCAAATTTTAAGTAAATCCCTGCAGTACTTTTTGAGTTTATCCCAGACAAATAGACAAAAATTCTAAAGACTATATTTTTGGCTTCGGTATCGATTGTAGATCACACCCCAAGTATTATTTTAAAAAAATATTCAATGTACAGATTTGACTTTCCTACCATTTTATTATATCACACTAATATTATAAAGGCAGACATGGGTATGGAGTTAGCTGACACCCTGGATTAACACATAGGCTACGTTTTACTGCGGGAAAGTGTCCCTAATAAACCGCGGGGCACAGCTAGTTTATTTATATTTACAGCATTGTCTTAGATAGACGTGTTTTTAAAATTAACAAAGTTGCAAAACAACTACCCTTAACTGCTACTCGAAATAAACAAAACTTAAAAAAATATCTATTACAAAAAAATACAAATTTATCTACTACACTCAGGCTTTGAAACCTCTAATAAAGATTCAAATCCATTTTTTTTAAATCGGTTGTCGATCGGTATCGACAATTGATCATAGGGTCAAATCTCTCAGCAATGACCTAAATATGAATGTATTGCAATACCTATCTACTTCGTCTTTTCCTGTAACTCTGATATATATTATGTTACATTATTGGCCTGCAGGTGACCTAGCGTCGAGCAGTTGGCGGCTGTCGCCCTCAAGCTCCGGATACAAAACCCTCAGTTTGCGAAGTACGGATTCTGTTACACCCTCGCCTACTGGTAAGTCATTTATTATTAACCTATCATCATCCTATTAATGTCCCCACTGCTGGGGCACAGGCCTTCCCTATGGGTGCAGTAGAGAGATTGCGCTATGGTCCATCTCGTGGGCCCAGTGCGGATTGGTGGGTGCTTACGACTGCAGATGCAGCCGTGCTTCGGGAGGCACGTTATTGAGCTTCAGATAGTAAATTTTTTGTCACCCATCCAATGAACGATCACAGCAAAAGTTGCTTAGATCCTCCTAGTAACCTGTCTATACCTATAATATAATATGTTACACGGCAATCCTTATCTGTGTCTTTTTGAATACGATCAAATGCTTTGTAAAACTCTTTAAAATTGAATCGTTTTTCATAAGAGTTGAAGGTAGATATTATGGGGGGTAGGTGTATGCTAGGAGAAAATGCTAAAAAGATTCAACTCGCAGATATCTAGATGGGTATTTTTTATCCTTTTTTTCATATTAAACTTTATCACAGTACAACTTGACAGGATGCTGTTGGCTCTTGCTGAAAATATGTTATTGGGTCATCATGTTACGTCTCTTTCTACCTTGTAGGATTGTTGTAAGGGCATGATATCTCTTTTTCTCACTTTGTCAGTGTTTAAATACTGTCTATGTGTAACACATACAAATTGTGCGTAGGCGGTGCGAGTCCGGAGCCGTGTCCGTTGTACGCCGTGCCTCCCGGCGCACTCGTCATCAACCCACAGGTACTTTTATTAATCTAATATATAAAATTCTCGTGTCGCGGTGTTTGTGGTTAAACTTCTCCGAAACGGCTTTCCCGATTCTCATGAAATTTTGTGTGCATATTGGGTAGGTCTGAGAATCGGACAACATCTATTTTTCATCCCCCTAAATGTTAAGGGTAATCCACCCCTAAATATTTTTTTTAAATTTTAGATATATTTTTTTTAATTTTTTTATGATACATCATACAAAAATACATACAAACCTAAATTTTCACCATTCTACCACCAACCCCTATTTTTTTATGGCGGTACGAAGTTCGCTGGGTCAGTTAGTAATATATAATAAAAAATATTTCTAACACACATCAATATGCTATTTTCCAAATTTTTGAAAATTGCTTATATTTAAAGATTGGGACAAATCTATAGGAGGTACACGTAAAGTACGTGTAGTAAGTGTACATGCAGAAGAATCTACAGACATGTATGTTTATCAGAGGCCCAAGCACAAGATTTTGACAGCTCCGTGAAGTATTATAATCGTCAAATTTTTATGGAAAAAGCTAGTTAGTTCTTGCGTCTGATAGGGACTCGAGAAGATCTAAGATTGTCTAGTTGCAGTGTGATTAACCCCTATTAATGACTACAAATCATTTCGTGTAGATCTTTAATTGACTACATCGCGTATTGCCTAAGATCGCATAATTACTAGATCTTTATTTTACCACATGAAATAATGATTGGATCGTAAAATGACTACAATTTTATTTGACCACATCTCACAATGACTAGGTCTCAAATTGACCAGATAGGTTGATTGACAGCGTATACTAGTACAGTTAAGTATAAAATCTGTATAAATAAAAATTTATCGCCGAAATGTATATACCAGAGATTTGCAAAATACATTATTAAATGCATTGAAATACAAAATCTAAATACTTTTATATATTTTTTATTTCAAATACAAAATAGTTTTTCATTTTATATTTAAAATACAAAATCCATATTTCCAAAATCCTTTATTAAAATAAAATACCTTGTTTTTAATTATGTTTATTTTATTGGTTTTTTAATTTATTTTGGAGATCCTAAAACAAAACAGTTCAGTTGCCATAGTGAGAAAAAATATCGTAGTAATTATTCTGGATGTTAAAATTATACCTAAAATGATTCTGGCTTACAAAAATTATGAGCTTTGTATATCTGTTAATGAGTGAATGCCAAATGATATTCTGCAAAATGATGTTGATGCCATCCGCATATTTGCATTATAATATTATGAAATTAAATGTTCTGCGTGAAAAGGTAGACCCTTTCTGAATATCCGGAAAAATAGGGACTGGTGATATTTTTTAAAACCTTATTCCGTGAGAGGTTAAGTGATAAACAATGGATGAAATATTGCATGGGTTAAAGCAGTAATGCTGATATTATCATTAATTATATGTTTTGTTGTGTATAGACGGGGAGACCTCTCACCAATCCTGACGGCAGTCTGTACCACTTTGATCCCGCCAACCCACCGATAATCTATGACGCTTCAGCGTATCACGACGAAAAGGTAACTCATAACTAAGTTATTTTATACAACCGATATATCTTTCATACTTTCTAAAATTTTGAACAAAACCACCAGCTTGCACAATAGTGGTGATGACGGGGTGCAGTAAACGAAATTCTATTTAGTCCGTCAGTTAGATGATCAAAAAATAATGGACACGTATTTTTTCTTTGGGCAATCAACCATAAAATTACAAAGTTATAGCGCGTCAAAGTTTGGGAGTAGGGACTCGTGACGTCACTTTTGAGTGAATTTTCACTTATAAGTGTACTCAAACGTAACGTCATGCGACTTTTCAAATCAATATATGGGTGATTCTCAGTTAAGAGGTAATCGGTTGTATGGAAGCACAGCGAAAAGTGTCGATATTTATATAACTATACCACTACTTTTATCAAGACAGATGATTTTAAGATGATCAGTCATTTTTGACGTGACAACGTCTTAAATTAGGTTGCGGCTGGGAGTCACTTATGAAAAAGTGTAACGCTCGGTAACGTTACGATGAGTTTAAGTTTACATGTACAATGTTTTAGTAAACAAAATATATTTCTATAGTTAAAATTTGTGCAATTCTTATTTTCATTCAATTCCTTGTTCCTATTGTGCAATTTAATTATATTCATATCAATAAATATTCTACCGAGAAAAAGACGTTGTCACGTAAAATCTTCGCCCGTAAAACCGACTTTACAGGCAACCATTTTTTTTAATATATTCTTGTTTTACGAGGCACCAGGGGAAATACTGAGTACAGGGTAGAGACAAAATGAACTTTATTACAATGCTCTTAGAGCGCATATTAGGTTGTAAAGTACTTATCCGTGCAATCAGATTTTAGTGGAATAACGATATAAAGCTAAACAATTATCTAAGATTATATGCAATTGTACATTCTCTAATAAATTATCATTACTGTTATTGAGCTATTGCATCGTTTTTATAGTTTTGTTAGTAGCCTGGCACCATAACAGCCAGGGGAAATATGGCAGGGGAGAGACATTTTCGTTAAAAATCTAAAATTGCCGTAAAACTACTAATTTTACAAAGATTGCAAATAAATAAAAGGTTTGCAGCACTATTTAAAATAAATGTATATAGATATTGTAGTATTTAAACACATAAATACGAATAAAACAATACCAGGGTTAATACTTCGATCACTCAACATGGCTCATCGAGCACCGTTGCGCAAATTGCCAAAAAATTGCGGCGCCGATGGCTTGTGCAGCGCTTGCTGCTAACTTCACGTGACACTCGGTGTCTTCAAGGTTAAAACTACCACAGACTATATGATAAACAAATACGATTTTCAAACTAAACCTAAGGCCAGGGGGCGAGACATGAAACTCGGAGGACACAATTTGCGATTAATATTTTTTATAAAAAGTGCAAATATAAATGAATTTAATGGTTACATACTGTAACTAAGTTATCGGGGTTCATGTTATTACCGATAGAAAAGTAATAATTAAATTTCAATGGACTCAAAATTACTGATTTACAGAAAAAACGGTTAGGGGACAACCCAGGGGAGAGATGATTTTCCTCTTTGTGCTGTAAATTATTTATTTTTATTAAATTATGCACATTTAGAATATAATTTTAAGTGACAATTTAGAACACATTTAGTTAATTGAAATTATTAAGATTTTAGACCATAATTTCCATGATAATGATTTTTTTGGCTTTGCCGTCGAACATACCTCTTAACTGAGAATCACCCATATCTCTGCAATGTTTATATTATGTGAAAAAAGAAAAAATACGTGTCCAATACTTTTTGATAATCTACCTGATAAACGAAGAAAAAAAATGGTATCATCCCTATTTATAAAGTTTTTCAATGGACTCTATATTTATTACAGATCGACCAAAATGTGGAGAAAAAACGTGGCAAACTGGAAAAACAGCATTCCTTTATCGACAACGGTGAGATCAATAATTTCTCAATATTTTATTCATAACTACCCAATTTCATATAAATAATAAGATAGAACAAAACTAAATTGTTTTTCGATATCTCAACCCAGTCACTGTAAACTTACGTTAAACTTCACGCCATATAATTGCATTTAGAAACCGATTTACTTGATCACGCAAATAGTTAAAGCTCGTAGACAGATCAAAGCCGTCCCTATCCGTTTCTTTTCTGTAAATAACTACTTAAATCATTCGTGAATGTGATATGATGATATAATTATGCTCACATTAGCATAATTATCAAATTTCATGTTGATGACAATATTGATGTAAATATTATCAATGTTTAAATCCGAGTTGTTTGAAACATAGTTAAATGACCCCGCAGAATCCTTATGGAAGCTGACTCTCGGCCAATTTTACTGTATCTTTGGGAGATCATAGCATGACACGTGGAATAAAAGTCCCCATGGGCCCAATGGCCAAAAGTTCATAGATGAGGAGCTACACCGTGTCAAAGTCGAAAATGTACGGCTGTATAATGTTTTCTCTCTCATAGTTACGGAAAAATTGGCCGACAGCCAGCTTCCATAAAGATTCTGCGGGGTCCTTTGACTAAAGTTAAAATATTAGAAAATTAAAATAACCATTTGTAAAAAAGGATACCATGTATTTGACGTGACATTAATTATAGTCAAATGTTTCAAACAAGGCTGCCTAAATGTCCACTTTTAATTTTTTAGTCATTCGTAAGCGGTGACGTCTGACGTCATTTTGATTAGACATGTGTTTCAGAATGCGAATGTCAACCTACGGACGAGTCACGGAATAAATGTTGTTGTCCTTGTCGCCGAAACGACGCCTGCCGAAGGACAGAGAAGGTAAACGAACAATATTCATTCGCTCTACAATTATTTACTCCTGAACAAGCAGAACCATAAAATACAATTTAAAGCTCATAAAGTATATTAGACTTATACAAATTTAACTACTCTTCTAAAATAATTTTACACACGGGTAAAATTTATTAATTTATTGTTTTTAAATAAAAAATATGTTTTTCTTTCTTTCTTTCTTTTAAACAATATATATACCTTTTGCTGTTCCACAATTTAAGATTTATTTAATTTAAGATTAAATATACGTTACGTATCCGTATAATGTCTTTAACTTGTTCGTGCACCCGTTTCTATCATTTTAATTATAAAATGTGTTGTTCAGAGTGCTACTGAACAATCTCAAAACCCACCGAGCCCGTGCGCTAACCTTTACGAGCACACAGAAACACAATCTGACACCAATATATACGAGTCGAAAGAGCAGAAACAAGACAATATCCAATACGAAACGACGAATACGCAAACATACAGTGAAAATTACGAGAACAACTACGAGAGACTCGAAGCCACCCAGAGGCAAACGTATGACGCGAGGACCAATCAGAGACCACCTTACGAACAGCCATCCAATCAGATGCAGGATAACCAGCAAGTTGGGAAACTTTCGCATCAGGACAGCCAGGAGTTTTATACGCCGACGTATGGACATGTCAAAAATGGAGAGGTTTGTTCTTTTCTTACACCTCCACAACACTACTTGCGAAGTCAAGCGAAGCTGGCCACAGACTACATAGATACTAAGCACAGACTATCAACTGCAGAACATTTTTAATTTTTTTTTCTGTACAGATACTATCTAAGTAGTCTGTGGTATAACCTCGGGTAACTTTCACGAGTGGTGCAGTGGAGGCATGGACTTATAAGTCCATGAGTGGAGGTGTTAGTCATATTTTATTTTTTCGGACACACGTCAGTTCTTTATCAAATAAACAAATTCAAGAGCCTATGCAAAAGTATATTATGTGTATTTATAAGGCGTAGATAAATGGATTTGTTACGTTTCTTTCAATCTTCAAGGTTAAGTGAAACAATGAAATTTTTCCCTCCCCTTACTCCGTGCATCATTTCCGAGAACGGATGCTTCGTTTTGCATCCTGTAAGATTAGCCTACTGACACGCTCTGTGTATTTTCGTTTTCACTTTGGAACCTTTATATTGTAATATAGATTTATAGTTTTTTTTAACCTTTTTTTTTATAGGTGGTATCGCCCCCTGCACCACAACATAGCAAACACAGCTACCCCCAACAAGAGATGAATATACAATCATTGAGCCAAAATAAAGGCACGCCAGTACCTATGCCAGACCCCCACATACGTAAGTGATCATTGTCATCAGATTATTAATATCCTCACTGCTGGGGCACAGGCCTTGCCTGTGGATGGAATAAGGAGATTGGGCCATGACTCACTGTGTGGATTGGTGGGTGCTAACGTACTGCAGATGCAACTGGGACCAACGGCTTAACGTGCTTTCCGTAGCACGGTCATCCATGTAATGACTGACCGCGACGAAAGTTGCTTAACTTCAACTATCGAGGCTGAACACGCTTACAACCTGCGCTATCGAGTTCCAGAAACGTAAGTAATACCTACTATTGTTTTAGTAGACAGAACTAAGAACAGTCAATGAGTGACGACACTCACAATGGCAAATATAATACTAACAAGGTTGAACAGCGAGTTTGTAATACGAATCGTAATTTGATAGATTTGATGATAGCTGTGTTGGTCTAATGGCGACACTTCACTTGGTTATTCCGTGTGTGTTTGCTATTTATTTCATATTAACTTGACATCAGACTGTCCTTTTTACTTCTTATAAAGCGTGATAAGGACAAACTGTTGTCAAGTTTACAAATAGCCTAGCCTAATATAGTGCTGGCATAGGAGACACTTCATAAATAACGATTTCACTTGGATCTCAAGGTTTCAACGCATTTTGTTATAGTTTTATTAATTTATTTGGAAAATACTTTTCATAGAGTATACACTGTATATTCATATACATCTTTCTGCAATAAAGTTACTTTTTACTAATTCTATATAATTCTTTATCGCAGGTCCTGTGTCTCTTACGAACATGGCTTATCCAACAATACAGCAAAGTTACCCTTATATCAACCAATTTAGAGTAGTAAGTGTCACAAATATTATTTCATACCATTTTTTGCAGTCATAAACACTACTATTCATATACTATTTGATATTTTTTATAGGAACAGTCCTTACAGCCTGTATATCCTGGCATGGTGCATAATGCAGAAGATCACAAGGTCAACGCCACGCCACCACAAGAACCTACATTCAGAATAGGTAACTCGGAACTGATCAAACTATCTCAATTTGCCAGCCTCACATTTCTCGTAACTATGGCAACCGTATAAATAAAATTTATTCTAGACAACCCAAAACAATAATTCAGTCCTAGCAATTTGTACTATGGAAACTAAATAATGTATAGGGCTCTTAAATAAGTATGTGCATTCCATTTTCCTTACCAGGATTCGAACCCTGGACCTGCCGTGCAAAAGGCAGGATCGCTACCATTGCACCAACCGGAATCATATACTTACTTCAGAAACAACAACATAAAACTATAAACCGTGAATTTTAAGTTACCTGAGGAACTTAAATATCGTGTAAATAAAAACAGTGAGAACATATATAGTACAGTCATTTGGTCAGAAATATAGTGGTTATCTGGAAAGTTTTCCGGGAGTTTTGAATATTGATAATGTTATAAATTTTGAGGTGTTCCAAATTTCGACTATGCCACCTCGTATTTTTGCCGCTCGCGCCGCCATATTGGAAATATTCCAACTCATTTTACGATAAAAACCTAAAACCAAATGAAACTAGAGACAATTGCCTACAATTTATGTATCTACCTTTTTTTTCATAAAGTCAATAGTTTTGGCGTACGAGCGCCGTAAATTGTACTCCAACGCGCATTTCGGCCGAAAACTCATTTCCACCACCACCACACCACCTTGAGTTAGAGTAAGTGGCGCGGTTTTTTTAATGTGGTATCCCCAATAGGCCTAATCGTATGTCATTTAGCGTATTCTCCTTCGCTTTGTTGTTCTCGATGGACCAGGTGTTGCAAATTCATCGTCTGTAGTACCAATCGAAACGTCACAGACCGGTATTTCATCTACATCATGGGTCTATTATAGTATAATAAAAAATATGCGTGAAAACCTAAGAAACATATATAATATAATATCTATAGTCAGTATAGTTTAGATTTACATTAATTTTATAACTCACAAATATGATGAGTTGAAATTAAATGCATGCCCCCACAGGTTGCATGAATAATGAGTAATGACCGAAGCGCGCGTTGGAGTACACTTTGCGGCGCTCCTACGTCAAAACTATTGTCTTTATGAAAAAAAAAGTAAATACATAAATTGTAGGCAATTGTCTCTAGTGTCATTTGTATTAACAGTTTTTATCGTAAAATGAGTTGGTAATCTCATTTTACGATAAAAATCGTAAAAGGAGATATTGTCAAAAAACTACGAGGTGGCGAAGTCGAAATTCGAAAAGAGCACCTCCAAATCTATAAAATTGCCAATTTTCAAAACTCGCGGAAAACTTTCCAGGTAAAACTACCGAATGATTGTACTTATACCTGTACTTACACTAAAAGTATTATACTCACATACAAAAATATTGATTTGTATCGTTTACGAAATATCCTAAAAAGGTGCAAATTTGTAAATAACGCGAATTATAAAATTATTTACCGTTAAAGAAGTTTTATTAAATACATTTTTTGACTATTAAAATTTTTAAAGTTGCTTTATTTGCACACTTCTTGACGTTAAAGTGGAGAAATTTTTCGCAAAAAAAATAGTTAAGGAAAATTAAATGTTTTTGCGCAATTTTATCCAAATCATTGTCCAAATTAGCTAGTAAAGTTTCTCAGTCACCTTAAAATTCATGGCGTAGGTGTGCCAAATTTCATCAAAAAAATTAAGCGTGACTAAGTAACACACGTACAAACTTTCACATTTTTAATATTAGTGTAATTAAAATAAAGGTTATTTCTTTGTTATCTTTAACAGATCCCAGTTATCCGTACGCGGCAGTTGATTTCGCGTCCCAGTGCGGCGCTTGTGTAGATCCTAACACCATGCGAAGGTATTAAATTAAAATCATAACTCTTGCGAGATTTTATTATATATGTATATTGAATGTGTATTTAAACTACAGTATAGTTTATATATATGTATATATAACATAGAAGTATTTAAACTACATTACAGTATACAGCCAAGCAAACTTCTTGCGTGACGTCAATAGACAAGGAAGCCTGTGCGAGTATATTTGTCTCTCGTTTTGCTCAAGAAGTTTGCTGCTAACTTAACTGTAACATGATATAATTTATGGATACAAATATGATTTATCTATCTATGTTTATCTAATATATAAAATTCTTCTGTCACGGTGTGCGTAATTGAACTACTCCGAAACGGCTCGACCGATTTTCGTGAAATTTTATATGCATATTCTACTGAACATAAGCGATCTCAGACCTACTGGTCTGAGAATCGGACAACATTTATTTTTCATCCCCCTAATGTTAAGGGTGCTCCATCCTTAAATTTTATTTTTTGGACAATTTTTTTTTACGATACATCATACAAAAATACATTCCACCCTAAATTTTCTGCGTTCTACCACCAACCCCTATTTATTTATGGTGGTACGAAGTTCGCTGGGACAGCTACTATTTATCTATATTTATAGATTTTGATATAATTGTGTTCTGAGATATTATGTATCAGGACTGCTGGCTATTTATTACCTATACCTACTATAGCGATAGAACTATAACTAAGATCGGATAGCAAAAGATTAGTAAAAGCGTTTTTGATCTTTCAATGTATAGTGAAGACTTGATATAATTTTATAAACTGAACTTATTTGAAATAAAGATCAGTCTTAGATTTTTGTAAACGTTTGGTGACATCTCCCAACAGCTACAGTCTGCCTTACGGACAAGTGGAAGTACCACAGGCAGTGCTACCTACATATCCTGTAGGCAATGTAATGTTGCCTCAACACATACAACACTACCCGGTGAGTTGCCTCGTACTGGTTATGAAATAAGGTCTAAAATTCTACAGATATATCAGAGGCCCAAGCTCGAACTTTAGCAGGTCCGTAATCATATCATCATCTTCAAATTTTGTACGAAAGCTAGTTTGTTCTGAAATCCGGTAGGGGCGCAGCTTAGTTTTCATAGAAACTTTAACGAAGTGATAGGATTACGGAGCTGTCAAAGTTTGTGCTTGGGGTACAGAAGTTCAATGTAGCACATATCGAATAAAAGCGAAGAAATTTCTGTTGATTGTGGAGTCAAGATTGAATTTATATATTTATGATTATGTAGCAATGCAAAAACTAAGATGTGTTTCGGCCTACAGCTACAACTATTGTACGGTGCAATGACCGTCCATTCTGCGCGGTCAGCGGTTTACGCCCTCGGCTACAATTTTATTATAATTGTAAAATCTGTTCACAATCAGCAATCGACGTGTACTCATTGATCAATTTATTTTAGCAATATTTTAACATAAGTTGACGTGTAATTTACATATCAATAAACGCTTAAATGTCATTTAATGTACGGGATCCGTACAACTATCCTCAATAGTACAATTTTGCTACAAGTAATCAACGACGTAATTTTAAGCGACAGAAATGAACAGATCTCTTATATTATACATAATTATACGGTCACGCATTTACCTGAAAATCTATTCACTAAAAACTTGAAAACATCAAGACTCAAGTGCAGTGAAAATTTTAAATTTACACGGTTTAGGAATAAAAGAATGCAAATTACGTTTCGCAATAAATTTCTATCTTTCTATACAGTATCAAGACGGGGTGCAATGGCAGCCGCCTCCGATGATGCCGATGCAACCCAAACTGGTTGTACCCGAACTGTACCCCGTGTACCCCAACATGTATCAGTACAATCTGCTATACCCTCAGGTATGTACCGTTCCCATTATCACGGTTATAAAATTGGATAAAATAAAGTAAACTTATTAATATTGAGAAACTGGGACTTTGAATCATGAAACCAAGATATATTGAGACAATAGGGTATTTGACAAGTTTTAGAAAACGATCTCACGTTATTGACTAATGTTTATGGAGTCCGTAAAAAGGATAATGGATATTCATCATTTTGTTGTGTATTTCAGTAAAAATAACCAAATCAAAAACTCCATTTTCAATTTGCCGCGAAAACGTTTCTCTGGACAATATGGCGTCTTACTAGTGTGTGACGTCACACGACTGTTATTAAAACGTCAAACGATACAATATAATATCACTTTAACCGGAAGTTTACTTGCGTGTGACGTTAGGCTCCGCCAATCCCAAGCTTTTTGGGTCACGTGACAATAGATTAGAAAACTATTATCGTTTTCGTTAGTTTTTAGTAAAATTATAAAAACCCCTGCCAATATTCATTCTAAACACAGATGCTAACAATTGGCACTTTATTTTTAACACTGTCAAATACCCTAGTTAGCATACCTTGAGATATGGCATTGAAATTAATTACCAATTTATTAACCTATTACTCTGAGCTACAAAGATCGTAAATATATATTAATCTTTTCTCATATAAACGTGAATCTTTATTATCCTTATTCACGCCGTAACTTGTGAACGACTTTACCGATTTCATAAATTTTCAGGGTTCTTTACCCAAAGGGTAAAAACGGAACCCTATTTCTAAGACTTCTCTGTCTGTCACCAGGCTGTATCTCATGAACCGTGATAGCTAGACAGTTGAAATTTTCACAGATGATGTATTTCTGTTGTCGCTATAACAACAAAAATACTAAATATAAAAATAGAATAAAAAAAAATTAAGGGGGGCTCCCATACAACAAACGTATTTTTTGCCGTTGTTTGCTCTATATTTATAACGGAAACTGGTAGATAGGTACTTGAATTCACTATTATATATATTCACTATTATATATATATATATATTCACAATTCACAAAATATTTAGTTGAATTATGATTAACAGACGTAATTTTTTGCTGTTTTTGGTACGGAACTCTTCGTGCGCGAGTCCGACTCGCACTTGGCCGACTTTTTTTTAAGTTTCTATTACTATTGTAATTTTGTTTTGTTTCAGGTGATACCGCAACCTTACCCTATATGCCAGCCGATGTACGGCGTCGTAGAGAAACCGCCATCAAGAAGCAACAGCGTTACTAACGCGCACGCGAACATTCATTCGAATACGATGCCGAACACGTTCGCGAGCGCGGTCCACGCTGAGTATAACAATAGCACTGAGGCCCGTGCGCCGTCTACGCACAACAATGATAGTAATGTACGTACTGTTAAAGTTAGGTAATGCCTAAGTTACACAGTGCGAGCTGGCCTAGTCAGATACTATAGTACAGCTACTCGCATTGTGTGGCCGTATCATATGAGCTACTGTCATGTAAGAGTCGGTGTCGGTAGCTCGCATCCCAGTTACTACAACATTTTCGAAGTGAAACTTCTTTTGCTTGACTTGAGGGGTAAGCTGGCGAAAGCGTTACGCGTTACGAAAAGTGTGATCGGGCGAGGCGAACGGGAGTTGAGTGGGGGATATAAGCAAGATAAAGATTAAAATACAAGATTCTCTCTCTCTTATAGCTAGTAAATGGAAAATGTATGCATATGTACACGTATATACATACATGTATATATTTTATACACACACACACACACATATATATATATACATACAGATGGAGCTAAAGAAGTTTTACTTCAGTAGTGTGGTCATAAGCACACTCCTTTTTTTTATTCGCCAATCAGCAACTCGGACATAGGCTCGTACATTTTTGCATACAGACAGACGTTACTCGAATTCTCTGTTTGTTTTTGTTTCGATCGACGAAATTGCCAATAGTTGGAGTTCCGAAGGCAAATACCCAGGTGCGGTAGCGTGAGTAAACGCACGTGTTCTTTCCTTCCTACAATCTGGGGTCCTTTAAGAGAGGCGTGAAGAAGCATTTTTGCAGGTCGGCAAGGTGAGCAAGGTTGGTGTGGCAGTTTATAACTGCTGTACGAGTTACCTTCGCGCTTGGACTTTATCACCACGTAACATCAGCTATGATGCAGGGTAGAGTCATATAAAAAAAAAGTAAAGGTTCAGTAGTTTTCTCCTGCCACATCAGCAGCTTGCACTGTGTAACCTCTCTTTTATATTATCTACTTATAGCCGCCTGTCCCATGCATCCATTCACCAGTCTCGATCCACTATAGCATTAACTACTTATAGCCGCCACTCCCATGCATCCATTCACCAGTCTCGACCCACTATAGCATTTTCTACTTATGGCCGCCAGTCCCATGCATCCATTCACCAGTCTCGACCCACTATAACATTAACTACTTTTAGCCGCCACTCCCATGCATCCATTCACCAGTCTCGATCCACTATAGCATTAACTACTTATAGCCGCCAGTCCCATGCATCCATTCACCAGTCTCGACCCACTATAGCATTATCTACTTATAACCGCCAGTCTCATGCATCCATGCGCCAGTCTCGATTCAGTATCCTTATCGGAAAGCTGTCCTACGAAGTTATTAAAATTGCTTTATGTCGTAATCAAATCATATTTCATGACTATGGAAGATACTCGTATGCGAATGAAAAAAGACTAACAAAGGAATTTTATAGATGTAATGTTTTTTTTATTGTATGAAGGAAAATCTTTGTACGATCTGCCAATTTGTTTCCTGACCCACTATAAGTTTATTTTGTTACAACCATTTCAAAACAATAAGGTAGATTTTTGCTTAAATGTAAGTCAACTGACGAGGCTGAAAACTGAGGACGGTAGTATCATTTCATCGACTCCTGAAATCCTGAGGGAGATTGAGAGTTTCTATAGGCAGTTATATTCCAGCAGAACACCAGGCGAAAGCAGAGCTCGAGATCCTAGAGCCAAGCTTACCCGACATTATACCGAGGATATCCCGGACGTCAGCCTGTACGAGATTAGAATTGCCCTCAAACAGCTTAAAAACAACAAGGCGGCGGGAGATGACGGAATCACAACAGAGCTTCTGAGAGCGGGCGGTACGCCGGTACTTAAAGTCCTCCAGAAGCTCTTCAACTCCGTCATCCACCAGGGCAAAACGCCGAAGGCATGGAGCAGAAGCGAGGTGATTTTGTTCTTCAAAAAGGGTGATAAGACCCTACTGAAGAACTATAGACCCATCTCGCTTCTGAGCCATATCTACAAGCTGTTTTCGAGGGTCATTACGAATCGTCTCGCTCGCAGGCTCGACGACTTCCAGCCTCCCGAACAAGCCGGTTTCCGAAAAGGCTTTAGTACCATAGACCACATCCATACGCTGCGGCAGATTATACAGAAGACCGAAGAGTATAATCGGCCACTTTGCTTAGCGTTTGTGGACTATGAGAAGGCCTTCGATTCGATCGAGACCTGGGCGGTGCTGCAGTCTCTCCAGAGGTGCCAAGTGGACTACAGGTATATCGAAGTGTTAAAGTACCTATACCAAAACGCCACTATGTCGGTCCGAGTACAGAATCAGAGCTCTAATCCTATCCAACTACAGCGAGGGGTGAGACAGGGAGACGTTATATCTCCGAAACTGTTCACTGCTGCGATGGAGGATATTTTTAAGCTTCTGGACTGGAAAGGACTCGGCATTAACATCAACGGCGAGTACCTGACACACCTTCGATTTGCCGATGACGTAGTCCTAATGGCGGAGACCTTGGAAGACCTGAACACCATGCTCGAGCATCTCAGTGACGCATCCCAGCGAGTGGGTCTTAAGATGAACATGGACAAGACTAAAATCATATCCAACGCCCATGTTGCACCCGCTCCAGTTAATGTTGGGAACGTTACACTTGAAGTTGTTGACCACTACGTTTACCTAGGACACACAATCCAGTTAGGTAAGTCCAACTTCGAGAAAGAGATCTCTCGTCGAATCCAACTCGGATGGGCAGCGTTCGGGAAGCTGCGGAACATCTTCGCGTCCAAAATACCTCAATGCCTTAAGACGAAAGTCTTTAACCAGTGTGTGTTGCCAGTGATAACCTATGGCAGTGAGGCGTGGTCGTTTACTATGGGTCTCATAGGACGGCTCAAGGTCGCCCAGCGGGCAATGGAGAGAGCTATGCTTGGTGTTTCCCTGCGTGATCGAGTCAGAAATGACGAGATCCGTAGGAGAACTAAAGTCACCGACATAGCTCGAAGAATAGCCCAGCTGAAGTGGCCGTTGGGGCGGAAAGGTTCTCGAATGGCGACCGCGTGCCGGACGACGCTCAGTGGGAAGACCCGCTACAAGGTGGACCGACGATCTGGTGAAGGTCGCGGGAAAACGCTGGATGCGGGCAGCGCAGGACCGATCGTTGTGAAGATCCTTGGGGGAGGCCTATGTCCAGCAGTGGGCGTCATACGGCTGATATGATGATGACGTATCCCTGGCAAAAACTTGTTATTTTCTGAACGATCATACTTGACGTGAAAGATTTTGCCGCTTTCCTGTGACATAATTTTGACATTAAATTATTCGGAATCTTGCCTATGGACTAAGGATTTATGTATATAAGTTTATCAAAGTTTTTTATAATGCAAGAAATCAAAAGAGTTTCTGTTACATTTTCAATTTTTAAAGTGTTTTCGAAATTCAAAGTATTATTCCAATTTCAACCATAAAATGAACTATTCCATTGAAAATAAAGTTCAAATTTCAAATATATTTGATCCATATGAACAGAGTTTCCTTGCTATTGCAAGGTCCCAAGTCCTTCCACATATCGTGACTCGTTACATGACCTCATACTTTTTTTGTGCGTCCAACCGGTGTTCATCGATTTACAAAACTTTATCACGTCAAAAACTTATATTCTACCCAGGTGACGGCCCGAAGAAACTCCAACGAGATCGCAGCCAAGATACAGCAGATCAAAGACCAGATGGCGCAGCTGAACACGAGGGATAGGGACAGAAGCAAACGCAACGACGAATGGAAGAGGCGGAACAACGGGAACGGCATACTCGGCAGCTATCCCACAAACAACGTTAACGGGAGAGTCGACACTCGGCTGCAAGGGTGAGTGCCGCGATTCATATATAAGAAATTTTGTCCTTATTAATATACGAAGAATAAGCTTGGACTAACTTTGCAGTATATTTTAGTTCATATACATAATTGGGATGAAAGCTACCAATTTCTTCTAGCAGAGGTGCAGTTGTCAAATGGCCCTTAACAACAAATCGAGACAGCTGTTAAAGTCATAAGAAAAACGACAAATTCCAATAGACTTGGGCTACGTTCCAAACCTAAGTTCCAGGTGCAACAAATGTTAAATTTGACATACTAAAATAAAATAAAAACTACCTAAAATAAAATTTTCATACATTTTATGTCAAAATTGAAACGTCAGGGCTAAAAGTTGCACTCAGAGCGTATGTTTAGAACACAGCCCTGAAGTGACAGGTTGTTTGTTATGGGCCAAACGACCAAAACGCCATATGTAATGAGCTGAGCGTTTTCTTCCCCCAACAAAAAAAAATATTTGCAAACAAATCGCTTTATAACTATAAAAAACGACGGCTTGTGTTGAATGGCTTGCGAGTCACTAGGGCCCACACTCGCATCACTCATTTTATAATTCAAAACAAAAAACAACTTCAACAAAATGAAAGACAATTTAAAATCACGTAATATATATATATAAGTGTGCATCACCATAAAAAAAAACAAATAGAATTTAAACGTCATAATTTCGCCAACTGTATCATGTTGAAAATGTGCACCCAAAGAACATTTTTTTTACTTCTTTTTAATGTTATCTGAAATAAAGTATAATCCAACAATAATGGACGCTTATGTAACTAATCACATTTAATATATTCGAGAATCCAAACGAAACAAATTCAAAACGACTGCAAAATTAAATCATGTATTGTTTCTAGAAGTACATCGAATGATGAAACGCAGTTAAGTTCAGCTGCGCGGGCGATTGTCAACTCTATAAGGAACATGCAAGTCAAGACCAATAATTGTAAGTTATACAAATGTAAGAGTTGATTCTCTAAATCACACAAAAAATATTAGCACCATAGCTCCTAATTCAAATTTTAAAAGCTATTATTATTATTAGCTTTATTTTTATTTTATCATGTCAAAGCTTCAATCTATCTCTTATTATTTTAATCAATTAACAAAGATGGAATAATGTGTTAAATATTATAAAGCATTAATTTGAATAAATGACTTGTTATAACTAGCTCCAACTAATGACTCCAAACACCTGGTGTTAAGTGATGGTGGAGTTCATACTCGAAGATAGATAGTATGGTAGCTAAACAAAATTTTCAAATTATGTGTTCTCAGATCAAGACAGACGCGAGTACCAATACCGGCCCGACCGAGCTGATTACCGACGGCGGGAAAGGGACGGCGATAGGTTAGAGCGAGACAACAAGCCGCCTGCTGACCGGAACCGGAACTTGCAGCTACAGTATCGCCCACCCTACCTACTTAGACAGGTCAATCATACATCGATTATTTTGGATTGTTTTTGTAATGACCTTATAGATTTATGTATTTTTAAGCATTTAACTGATAGATTTATAAGTTTTATAAACATTTTACTAGAACACTAAACCTGTCTGAAAACTGGACCGAGTGGGGATATTTTTTCTAGTTGAACATTTCTTTAGCTTTATAATCCCATAGATTATTTTTACATCTACTTAATACACATACCTCCTTATTAATAAACTATGTATAAGCTTGAATTAGTTACTTTGTGTTTTGTCTCTGTTCATTGAATGACAATGACATTTGAGTGATATTAACAAAACACGGCGTAACTAGTCTTAAGTTTATTCTTCATTTATTAATAAGGCGGATACAGAGTACTCTCTCAAAGAAAATGTTAACATCGAATCGAATCCCAATTTTCGATTTTTAAATTCGACGATGTTTTCTACGTGTCAATATAATGATTAACAACAACTAAAACAATTGTGTTACCATTTTACAAACGCGTTCGACCCCTACAAGTTCTCGACGCAAATGAACGGAATTCAGCCAAAAGTGTAATCTACTAATCACTGCGATTGTTGGCAGCCTCTAGCTAGCGGCTTGACTAAGCCACTGGTGGTCGCGTTTAGTGGCCTGTGGTTTTAAAATGAATAAACTCAAAAACTACGGGACCGATGTTAAAAACTCTAAGAATGCTACATTTTTATCGTGATTAAACAAAGTTCACCCGTGTAAAACCGGGGCGGATCGCTGCCTTCATAAAAGAAACGGAACTGTCCCCTAAGCGGCTTTTTGCGTCTGGGTGTTAGTGATCGAATATGTTTTGATTGATTCTAATTAACGAATATTCAATAGTATTTATTTATTTATACAGATGTCACCGGGGACATGGTGCCGGCGGTCTCCCGGGCCAGTGCATCCAGGTAATTATACCAACTTTATACGAATAAAAAACGATTAATTATAAAAATACGATCAAGTGACGTCAACTACGTCCAGAGTTTTCGTTAAGTACGCACACAGTAACATGAGGCATATCTCTGCCCTTTTCTTATTTGTCTATGATTTGTCTTGGCGTGTTTTATTACTTTCATAAGCCGCCATCTTAATCAGCTGTGTTCAAACGTCAAATGGCCGGGCATAATACAGAGATATTCCTTGTGTTACACTGTACCTCTTTTTACTCTGTCCCCTATATGGAAGAAAAAATGATTTTTTTGAAGTAAAACTTCTTTCACGTTTGACTTGGGGAGTAATACGTTCGCGTATTACAAATAGTGTGATCGGACGAGGCGAACGGGAGTTGAGTGGGGGATATAAGCAAGAGAAAGCAGTGCGCGCGCACATTGTCTTTCTCTCTTTCTCTTATAGCTAGTAAATGAAATATGTATATGTACATACATGTATATAATGTACGCACTTGTATATATTATATGTATTAGACTTGCAAGTAATAGTATATTCGGCAGTATACGAATACCGAATATTCGGCGAGGCCCCTGACCGAATAGCCGAATATTAGGCAAAAGTATTCGGCTGGATTTTAGCACCAAAAACTTGTACAGACGTGATTGTTTCGCGCTCCTTTGTTTTGTTCTAATCTGCCGTCCTCAAGCTAAAATGCGGCTAAATGACAAAACCAACTTTTGGGATATGTCCAAAAACGGTGCGTAAACTTTAAATTGTTGCTATTATGTAACCATTCATCACATGACTGAATGAATTAAAAACTGTTAACTTGTTTAATACAGAAAATGATTAAATTATGTACCTGTTTTATGTCCAATGACTACTTAATAAATGATTATAAGAGAAATGAGAACCTTACTCTTCTAAATTTTGATTACCACAATAAATTCAAATACATAGAATCCTCCATTTTTCCAATACAGAAGATGATTATGTACCTGTGTTATGTACCAATGACTGCTTAAATGATTATATATAACAGAAATGAAAATATGAATATATACGTAATCAAATGATTTTAATTTTTTCATTTTACCAATTATTTCTCTACGACTAAATATATTATTGAAGTAATCGGTATTCGGCCGAATATAATAAAAGCAGCCGAATAAGCCGAATACCGAATAGTAACCGAATATTCGTTGCAAGTCTAATATGTTTCTATACATACAGATAGAGCTAAAGAAGTTTCACTTTAGTTGTGTGGTCATCACACTCATTTTTTTATTTACAATAAACACTTTTGTTACAGTTCTAAATCACCCGCGGCGACCAAACCCTGACGCCAGGAATGGTAGACGTTAAACGCACAATCAGACAAATAATAGCAGTAGATAGTAACACGACAGCTGTTTGTACCACATATTGATTATACACTAAAATAGATTATCGTTATAATGTTGTGGTTATGCTAAAAACTTGAGATTTCTAAGTATAATTCCGTCGGAATGTTATTGAAAAGTAAATACGAACTATAGTTCTAGATCAGATTACATATAAATAAAAAAATCTAAGCAACAAGCACTAACAATGCAACCGAGACCTTAATGGCCATGTCGAATTTCTTCTAGTATTTCTGAGCTGTAGTTACAGATATGTTGTTTTATAAATCCGTTTGCTATAAAAAATATGTGGTGCATTCTACTTAAAAACACAATAAAAAGAGTGACGTTAACTTTAAATAAATTAAAAATAAATATAATAATATGATGATATAATTATAACAATATGATGTTGAAATCCAAATTTGTAACATGTCGATTTCAGAGGACTTTGCACTTGACTTAATATTAATTGCAATAGTTTCTTTAACCTGACAAGAGATGGCAGCACTTTCTAATAATTATTATTGTTCATGATTCGTTATAGTTTTCAACAGCCAATATAATTGGATATTTCACTAAAGCTATATAAGCGTGACTTTGCAACATTTGTATAAACATCTCTTATGCTGGAAGTGCCATATTTGGTAGTGTATTTAAGTTTACTATTTGTAAATTTGACAGCAGTCTCTCCCTTTCATTCCCTTGCCTTTGGAGCATGTTAAAGATATACTGATGTCAACAAGCAAATACAAATAGCCATGTGAAGTACTAGCAGTAGACACTACAAATGTTTTAACTTTGGTGTTTTCTTTCTAATTTAAAATTCATAATATTGTTTTACACACAAATTATACATCACACAAAAAATTACATGTGAAAATTTTGAATGTACTTACAATGTTCTGTAAATTTATCAATCTGTTTGTCAAGTCTTTAGTTTTGTTAGATTCGTTTGAATGGAGAAAAGCTGAATTTGACAAACAAATTTGACAGTTTGCAGAACTCCTAATGGTGCTTTTTAAATCGTTTATTGTTATGTAAATAATGTTATAGCCCAACCTACTGAATACGCCATCTATCGTTCGGTAGCCGAACTAAACAATACAGTACTACCACTTGTCAGCGTGCTTATAAAACAATTCCACTACTATTGTACGCAAAGTCGACAGGAGCGACACACCGCGCCGAGATCTCACTTTGAACTCGAAACTAGTCATTTTTATACGAATAAAGTGAAACTTATAACTATTTACTCTATATAATTAAGATTATGCGCGAGTGTCGCATCCTGACTCGATAAACAGAAGTGACGTTAACATTTTTTTATAGTCAGTGTATTAAGTTAATTATGTTTAGTTTTCATTTTGCGGCCAAGTAAAATGTGTATTTATAACTTTAGAAGTTTTTTTTGTTCGTTAGTATCATAATAATTAGATCATATTATAACTTTACACATTTTATTTGGCCTCCACATGGTGTAAGTTGTACATAACTGTAAGTTTTTATATATTTTTTGTTTCTCTAATTTTCAACTCTATTCCCTTTTAATAAGACAATTTTATCTGCATGAAGGTGTGAATGTATTAATTGCGGCGTGACACGAACTGTATACTAGATCTTAGACATGTGATATTTTGTTAGTTACCAAATATTATAAAGCGTACTCCATTTGTGTACTGTCCATAAAAAAGTGATTCAAATTCAGGCCAGTCATAAGATATTAAAGAACCTCAAACAAATGTTTGAATGTGAAGATCATCTATTAAAGAGAGTGACCAAACCAAACAAAACCACAAAACCGCGATTATAAGTAATATGTGAAGTACTTAATAAAACTCGAATAATAAAAATCAGATAAGACGATTGAAATCACAATCACCCGACACAGGGATTGCACATGAAACTTCTTTCTTCTTCTTCTTTCTACCCGGCCAGCAAATTACTTTTTTTCACAAACTGACTGGCTCGCTTTTGCATCGCATACCCATCATAATGAGAACTAAAAGTAGGAGACGCCTGGAAACGCTGATTAATGAAGCTTAGACATAAAAGAATAAACTTGTTATGAAAATTATTTCTCTATTACTTTCTATGATTAAGGTCCACTTGCAGCAATATTGCTAAATATCAATTTAACTAAAACTAGATCTATCCAATAGAACAATGTCAAAACGGCAATGACAATTTGACATCATTATAGACTATATCTAGTTTTGAGATTATCAAAATTGCTTGAAGTGGGCCTATGATAAAAGAGATTACATTTTTCCAACTAAATCTGTTACTAAGTACATACCCTTATATAATTTACCATTTTATTTTAGCTATAAGTTCTCTTGGAGACGTTTCTGTGTTTAATGACAAATAAGAAAATATAAATAAAACAATCGCGACGACAAAAAAAACAAGTAACTATGTGCCGACTGACATTTAAATAGATGTGTACTAAAACCATTTATAATTTTACCTAATCCAAAAAGCAACATAGATAATAAACATAGAATGTTAAACTATTGTAAATATGTAATTTGAAATTTCCTCATTAACATGAAACAAAGTAACTGAAATCGAGTGCGATAATAAAAACAAGTTACATAGTTTTAACCATACATACATATCTCGACGTTAAACATTAAATAGATTAAAAAAACATATGGTAGAATAAAAAATGGAATAAGTGAAATAAGTCAAACTTTTTTTCCTCTAAATTGTTCAGGAAGAATGGTATTGATGTTAGTCGCCCTGCCATAGTACATATGTATCCGAAGTAGCCAATCCCTTTAGCCTTGTAAATAAACTGCGTAGTCTATTTTTGACTAATGGGAATTAATAATGATCCCAATTGTAACTTAAAGTGCGAAGAATTTGAGATCAGTGATTTCATATATGTCTGTTATGAACTGTGTGAAATTCCTCTTGGGCAAAGTAGCCACATTAATCAGAAAGGCAAAGGGAAAGTAGCTATGTGTTTATAAACTACGAATATATTTATAAATCTTTCATAGCATATAAGAATCTTTTCTGTTTTTGTTATGTTTTTTAAATACAGAATTAGATGTTGCAAATACAGACTTTGTTACCGTTGAGATAAAAGTTGATTAATATCTTGGCATGGCGCAAAAATCAGGTTGATTGACTCGAAAATGATTGAAAATTGGAAATAAAAGCTTCTTTCTTTACTAAGTTTATATGGTTAGGCGGATGAATTTAGAAATACAAAATTAGATGTTGCAAATCCAGACTTTGTTATCGTTGAGATAAAAGTTGTTTAATATCTTGGCATGGCGCAAAAAATCAGGTTGATTGACTCGAAAATCATTGAAAATTGGAATTAAAAGCTTCTTTACTAAGTTATGAGGAGCTCGATGGCGCGGGTGGTTAGCGCGTTCGGCTGCGATCGTTGAAGTTAAGCAACTTTCGCAGTGGTCGGTCATTGGATGGGTGACCAAAAATCTACTATCTCGAGTTCCTCCGTGCTTCGGAAGACACGTTAAGCCGTTGGTCCCGGCTGCATCTGAAGTCGTTAGCTCCCGCCAACCCGCACTAGGCCCGCGTGGTGGGTCATGGCCCAATCTCCCTATTCCATCCATAGGGAAGGCCTGTGCCCCAGCAGTGGGGACATTAATAGGCTGATGATGATTACTAAGTTATATGGTTAGGCGGAAGTTTATTATTGAATGGGACGTCGGTAAATCGCTGAGAATGGAAAATGTATCGTAAACATATACCATGTACTTTTACTATTTGTTCATTGAATAAACTGATAATCATAGCAAAGCTTTCCACTGTGTAATAAAATGCTATACGACTTTACAAATTATAAAACTTAGTTTCTAATATTATTAATTGTATTAGAACAGAAATAAAACAACATCTGCCAAACGTGTTGGCAAGTAAACCGATATAATAATATAATCCATTTATACTTCACGTTTTAGAAAGCAATTGAAGATTTTATTTCGCTCTCTCTTAATACTTCCTTGAAGTCCAAAAATTACCACCACACATCGAAATTCATCTTTCCAAAGCCTTATAAATTAATTCCGTCTGTCGCGTTGTTGTAAGTACGGTGTCTCTTTCAAAAACCTACTATTATGCCAGTTGACGCATAGTTCTGTTTTAATACCAAAAAAATGTACGGCAGATGAATCCTACCCACAATGGATGTGGCTCGTAGGATGAAATAATTTATATGAACGTTTATTTTAACATGTAGAGAATATCGTTGTTAATATTAAAGATTTTAGCCTATACATTACTGTGTTTTCTTTATTTAACACCTTTAATGACATCTATAGTAACGCAGAACAAGCAACTGTTTTTTCATAGTTGAGAAAGAAGATACTGTATATGTCACCGGCAATCTGTCTAATTTCGGTATTCTATGCAATACCTAGACAAAGTATAAAATAAATCATATTTCATACAATTGCCTTGACGTTTTTGGCATTCTATACATTGCCTAGGTATTATATAGAATTCCGGATTATACAGATTACCGGTAACAAATATATGTTACAATAAGACATTACTGAAATGAAAACTTCTTTAGCACCATTGTGATTTGATATTCGATGAAGCGGAAGTAGAGTATTTGACAAAAGATAATTTTGTCATTAACCATGAAAGACGGATAGCCAAACTGTAATGGTCTTGGCGTCGACACCAATTGATCGGTGGTTTGACCCTGAGCTCGGTACCTTTTTTTTATTATGCTATTATTTATTTTTCGAATCAATTTAAGTATAGAATATTTAAATTTGCCCAGTATATACCTGCATAGATAAGTATTAAACGTTTGGTAGTTGACTCACTTGTTTATTAACACAGGCTTGGTTTTTATCCACGATCGTTACCTTTCCAGTGTTTGAATTTTTTTAACAGTAATTTTTCATTAATAAAAATTTCTAAAAAAAACAAGATTAAGAAAAACTTAACATAAGATATAAAATGATAATAGCTGGTAACAAACAAAACATAACATAAGAATTAAAATGAAAATAGTTGGTAACAAACAAAACATAACATAAGATATAAAATGAAAATAGCTGGTAACAAACAAAACATAACATAAGATATAAAATGTAAATAGCTGGTAACAAAGAAAACTTTCACGTGTCCACATTTTTGTTGGTTTTTAATTTTAACGCAAATAGAACTATGATGTTTTCACATCACTGACATGTGTAAATCTTGAGGAACATGTGGATATATCACACTTTAAGATTAAAAAGATGAGAGAATAGTGTTTTCTATAAAATTGGAGTCATTTCGGTTGAAACGTCCACGGCATCACCATTTTTCGCGGAACGCGTATTTCAAACTGAGGTAAAAAATCTTAAATTCAGAGAGCACTGCATTTTTATTCACAACGCCATCTACATATTTTGCCTAAACTGAAGAAACCACAAGCAGTGTAAATTAACTTTATCAACAAATACTGTTACAGTCCATGACGTATAACAAAAAGGTTACAGCCACCAACTTTAGATACTGAGTCCGGCCCTGTGACCTCATTGGGAACAACAGTGAGTTGATTAACGTTACCACCGCACCCGTCCTCGTCACACTCGCCGTTTAGGTTTGTTATTTCGCTCGCACCAACACCACCCTTACGTAGCTATTACTTAAATAAAAATTCTTACTCAGGCGACTTTCGGGTGTCGCCATCTTAAGATTAAAGCACTTAGTAAGTACTAAGCACTTGAAATTAAAGCGACAATTTTCAGCAAAAGTAGGTAGCATTAGCTAAAGTGCAGTCTCTTAAGAGATAGAAAATAGGTGGAATTAATAAAATTATCAATTCTATATTTTTCAGTAAATTTATAAATGTGAGTAAACTGAATAGGTAGGTAGCTTTTTTGAACTGAGCGTTTACTTAAGATTAATACAAGATTCAAACGCTGAATGTACCTATAGATTCAGCTACTCTGCTTTCTTTCTTTCCTTTTTAGGGTTTCGTGTCTCAAAAGGAAAAACGAAACCCTTATATCGTTTTGTTGTCTGTCCGTCCGTCCGTCCGTCCGTCTGTCAAGACCGATTTCTCAGGAACGCGTGGAGTTATTAAACTGAAATTCATATCTAATGCTCATGTCTACTGTCCCTTGGAGCTGTGTAAAAATCAAACTTCTAAGCCAAAGCAATCAAAAGATACAGCCGTTTATGCCGCAAACTACAAATTTTCGAAAATCGCACGGGAATCAAAATCTACACGATACTTCCCGTGAACTTAGAATCTTGAAATTTGGTACGAAGTAACGTCTTAAAGTACAGATAAAAGAAAAATTGCGAAAACCGTAAATTTTTAGTTACATCATAGAATAAAAAATATTTTTGAAAATTTTAAAGTTACTACCTCTTTTCTCATGAACGCGTAGAGGTATTAAATTGAGTTTGTACGGTACCCCTCGGTGCGCGAGTCTGAATCGCACTTGGCCGGTTTTTTTTCTTCTAAAATACCGTTTCAGGCCACATATTTTGACTAAAAGTAGAGCAAGGGCGTGTAGAGTTAGAAGCTTGACCCTACATAAGATAACTTTTTGATAGTGCGAGTCATATAGTCTTGTCTTGCCAACATTTTACAATAAAATGTTTTTGGTGAGATGAAATTATATTAAGTTAGGTAAACGTCTTCCAGGTCATCTCATTTGCTCAAGTTTGATTTTATAAGATATAGTTTTGAGTCAAAACTTTTGACCAACCAGTCAGAGAAACACGTTAAGTAGTGCTCCGAGGTTTCAAAACTTAATAAGAAATGTAGACACAGTCAGTTTTCAGCTCGAATTGAAGCATGCAGGTAGGCAGGCAGGTAGTGCTTTACTGCTGCAATGAAAAATTACTGCTGCAATGAAAAAACCCAGAGCTCTATTAGGTAGGGTACGAGATCAACGTTTTATCAAACGACTCTTAGCATTTATCTTAGGCACTAGCGTTCACCCGCGACTTTGTTCGCTTTTGAGTTATTTTTTTTGGGGAATACAACATGCACCTAACGTTTTCCGCGATAAAAAATTCACTGTCTCAATCCAAGTAATAAACTATAATCTGTGCGAAATTTCATCCAAGCGTATTACGCGCTTGAATTACAAACACTCAAACGTTCACCTTTATAATTTAAGTAGGATACATAAAAAATATAGTTTCCAAACTTAAGCAAAAAAAATGCTACAACCGAACTCCGAGTCCATCCCTGCGCCCCATCCAATTAGCGATCAGATTAAAGATATGCCCGGGGAGCCATTACCCAGCAAATTAGCCGCCCGGCCCGCGCCCCGCACCCACCCTCGACGTCAGCCATGGGCGTTAGCGATTTTGGTATAAGTACACCTAGTCAAGGAGGAGCTCGATGGCGCAGTAACTAGGCGCATTTAGCCTGCGATCGTAAAAGTTAAGCAACTTTCGCAATGGTCGGTCATTGGATGGGTGACCAAAACCTCTAGCTCCTCCGTGCTTCAGAAGGTACGTTAAGCCGTTGGTCCCGGCTGCATCTACAGTCGTAAGCACCCATCGTTCCGCGCTGGGTCCACGTGGTCGTGACCCACCACCCAAACCGCAAAAAGGGAAGGCCTGTGCCTGCCAGTGGGACATTAATAGGCTGATAATGATTACACTACGTCTTAACTCTTGAGTATAGGGGTGCCTTTCTACTAGAGATGTTTATGTAGCTACAATATACATGTATATACCTGGTCAGGTCATAAATTCTGTCACATTGTAATTGAAACAAGTTTATTCATTATTACATATTTATATACCAAAATGAACTTAACAAAACAGATTCATGTGACAATAAAGTTTATTCAAAATGACCTCCGTGATTTTGAATACAGGCTTTCAATCTGCGCGGCCAGTCGTCTATCGCAGCACGAACGAGGTGCAGCCGGCGGATGAGGCTTTGAGCACGCCTTTTCCTCCAAGTGTTGCGATATCTTGTAATCTAACGGACTCAAATCTGGACTGGAGGAGGGAGGGCCAGTCTTCGTGCCGGATGTAGTCGATTTCACGCGCCGCCAGCCAGTCTTGTGTGCTCTTCGCTCTATGAGCTGGCGCCGAATCTTGTTGGAATACCCAGTGCCTGTTATTGAACATGGTATGAGAAACTGGTTCCACAAGGTTCGTCAGGACTGTATTTTGATACACAACAGCATTCGTTTTTACACCTTTCTCACAAAAATGTACCTCCTGTTAAGCCGCAATAAGAAACTCCCAACCATACCATGAGCGAAGATGGAAAATGACCTCGTTGGACATGCGGAATACGGTTGCTCGGTTCTTCACTACTGTGTGCGTACACCTTATCATTTTGTTTGTTGTAGCTCTCTTCTACAGTAAATTTTTTTCATCCGAAAAAAGAATTTCCCGATATTTTTTCCCTCGTAACGCTTCAACAAAGAGCGGCATCTCTTCAGTCTCAGGTCCATTAGACGAGCATTCAAACGATGAAAAATAAGAAAAACAGTATTCTTCGATATGCCCGAAGCCCTAGTCTTCATTTAACACCCTTTCCACCGTGGTTCTGCTTAACCCCATCTGAAGGGCCAACAGTTTCTACTTACGTTTGGGATTTCTTTGAATTCGCGCCTTCACAGCTTTTATCACTGCTGGAGTCCTAACAGACCGAGGGCGACCACTTCTTGACCTGTCATCTACACTAGAGTCTTCATTGTATCGTTTGATGGTACGATAAACGAATCTTTTGGTTATATTCAAAATTTTCAGTATGTCAAAAATTTTTATTGGCGCGTAACCGCAACGATGCAACGCAATAACTGCAACACGGTCTTTTTTAAGCGTCCACTCCATATTTAAAAATGAGTAAAATTCAACAAAGTATACATTTTTATTTTCATGAACAATTTGAAATTCGAATTCAATAAACTTTTTTGTGGCCAGCATTCTAAAAGAAAAGTTTTAACTGTGTGACAATACTTATGACCTGACTGTGTATATATAAACTAGCTGACCCAGCGAATTTCGTACCGCCATAAAAATAGGGGCAGGTGGTGAAAGAGAAAATTTAGGGTTGAATGTATTTTTAATACCACATTATAAAAAAATAAATATTGTCCAAAATTTATTTTAGGTGTGTGTAATGGGCCTACCACACGCACGAGCTTCACCACAGTTTTGCCTGCGCAGGCTGGTTTGTACATGGAACACGGTGCGTGTAGTTGGTTAAACTGTATCATGCGCCAACCCCACAGCGCGGCCTGCGCACTTTTAGACTTGCTTGAAATTTTGCCTGCGCTAGCCC